AAGGGAGAAACAGAGGAAGGGAGAAAGAAAGGAAGCAGGGAGGGAGGGAGGAAAGAAGGAATGAGCAAGGAAGGAAGAAAGGAGGGAGGGAGGAAGGAAGGAAAAAAGGAAGGAAGGAAGGGAGGGAGGAAGGGAGGAAAGAAGGAAGGGAGGACATTCAGATTTGGAAGATTCATCATAACTATAATAAAAATAATTTTAACATTCATAACTATCGTTTCCAAGTCTGGTCTACCTCAAAGGTGGGGAACATCAATTTTACAAATCCAAAACCTCCTTCTGGAATGTCAGAAGGCTCCGATTTGGCCTCTGGAGGAAAGGCCTCCAGTCTCCAGGGTATACCTCTATCTGCTGAGCACCACCCTAGAACATTGCGGTGCTGCCAGCAATAAGCGGACATCGCTTTACAAAATGCCTTCTTCTGGGGCAGCTCCACTGTGCAACCCGCATTCAACAGAATTAAGAATCTGAAAGGAATATCTGGGTGAAAAAAAGGGGGGCAGTCAGCATTTGCTAGGCGAGTTCCCTTCCCCAGAATTATGAGCAAGGCAATCGAAATGTCTAACAGGCAAAAAGAAAAGGGAGGTCAGCTGTTCTCTGAATGGCAGTGAGCCACTGTGGGAATATTACCCCGCTGAAGACAGACAACGGTTGAGGATGTGACAACCATGGGCAAGCTCGATTTCTCTGAAGACGCCAGCAAGGTAGATTCACCGTTGTCACAACAGAACAGATTCATTGTCTCCCATCATCCAGAAGTAATTTCACCAAGGGAATCCCTTAAAGTTTCCTATTAAAAATAATACCGGCCCTCTGCTCGGTTATATAAGAAGTGGAAAGACGGTGTAACCTAGAAATAAATTCAAAGATAAAGCTGGACTACTATTTCTTCTTCTTCCTCTTCTTCTTCCTCTTCTTCTTCCTCTTCTTCTTCTTCTTCTTCTCCTCTTCTTCCTCCTCCTCCTCCTCCTTCTTCTTCTTTTCTTCTTCCTCCTCCACCTCTCCTCCTCCTCCTCCTC